TTTTTAGCACGGCAGTTATAATCATGCATTATAGGGTTAACATTTGGAAACATTACACGTACAGAGACACAGTGGTTAAGCTTTGATTACTAGACAAGTATAAACATCCTCCAAAACTTACCTGTACTATCTTCCTTTTAAATTGCTTCTATCCCATCCAATCATAATATCTTATTATTCATTATCTTTTTCTTCAATCTGCACATACATTAGCCACAACTCACTCTCCTTTTAACTGCTAAAATACTGATGGCACTTAAGTCTCTTTGTTCAAAACTTTTACCTGTTTTATACCCGGCTAGATTTCTTCTACACATACACTCACACCTTAAAGCACGCTACTGAATCAACAACATTATTTCTAAGCTTGAACAGCTTCTTCTCATGTTGAAGTCCTTTAGGAGAGCACCCTGGAAGATAAACCATAAAGACCTCTCTCAGCAGCTGTTAGTATTCTTAAATTCCTTTTCTTTAGTCTTTTTCCAGCACTTTAACTAAGACTGCCGAAGGCTGATCTGATCTAGTTTATATCTATGCCTTTGGACTTCTTTTTTTCCCCTCCCTCTCTTTTTTTTTTATTTTTTAATTTTTTTTAGCTTTTTCCATTCTTTACTGGATAGTTTCTGATTTAAGAAGTGTTTTGTAGCTGCGGAGAAGTGGAATTACTGCAAAACAAACAAAAAAAAAGATAATTGCAAAGCAAAGAGAATCTAACCCGTCATCTAGTTCGGTAATCAGTTTGGTCTCATAATTTAAATCTGCACTTGTTTTTTCTACAGCCACATTTCGTCTTCCAGCCTTTTCCTTTAGTGTCCTTAATTTAAGCCTAGGAGGAAGGTTGTGCAGGACACCAGGACTGCAAACCTCACAAGCTTTGTTACTAGCCAGCAGAGAGGAGGGGCTGGCCCCTCTCCACTGCTGATGAGGGAATGAGCAGGTCACGCCGGGCTCCAGGGTCCCTTGTCCCTGTAGCGCAGCTCCTACCAGCATCCTGCTCCCCCCGACTGCCACCAGCTCTCCTGTTCCACCACCCAGCCAGCGGAC